CAAAGCAAAACTACACAAACTCCAAACTTATATCTATAAAAAAGCACAGAGGGAAGTTATGCTCACAACTTTCCCTGAAAGTCAACAGGATTTAAACTTTAGTGGGTAAACTAAACTTAATTACCCCTTTATATATTCTAAAACACAATATGAATTTACATCTAAGCTGGCCTAAACATACTTCTGAATGACATTTCAGTGGTCCCATAGGTCTGCTATCACACTACTAACATATACTTACTTGGAGAACTGAAAACTGAACTAAAGGTCTAGTCCCAGTGAGACAGGTCTGAGGTCTCAAGTATTATAAATATCAACCATATACTTATTTAAAATAATGAGAAACTTGTGAATTTTGAGAAGAGATTAATCCACAAGAGGCTTCTGCTAAATACACAGCATCACAGATCACTGGAATTCTATTCTGATGCATTAGAAAATACTTTATAGGACAATTCTTTTTTTGTCAGAAATAACTAACTGTTCTTTTTTATCTCCAACTTCCATCGACTAGAAGACAGCTTTCTAAACACCTACCAAACGCTGCTCTCATTGTACCAAGGAAAACAATCTGCTTTTTTAGATGCTATCTCTTATTAGACACACTGGTGTATGCGTCACACAGAATGCCTGACCAAAAAAACAACATACATTCCATAAATGTACTTATAACACCATATTGAACCAGATGGCCAGATAGTATTTTAATGTGTTTAAGCATGTGCCTAAGTGCTGTCCTGAATCCTCACTGAAATCAAGCATGAGAAACTTACTGATATACAAATCCAAAAGTTTTCAGGTTACATTTTCTTGATAGAAGATATCAAGATTGTTATCACAATTATAGGACTTCACTGAAACAGCAGCACAAGCCCTATATGAAAGTTCCATTCCAGAAATAAAAATATTGATTAAACTACTTGAAATTAAGCACACGTACTCTACGAGAAATTTCATCATGACGATTATTTTTGTCCGTATTTCAGATGACTGAAATACATTCTTTATCTAGGGAACCAAGCTGCATATGCATATGAAGAAGGCTTAATTTACATGTCAAATTCTTTTACACAGGATTCTTTCAGCTTTATCTCTCCTAGCTTCTGATATAATTATTTTGGATAATCTTTTGGATAATTTGGATAATTTTTTTGATAATCTTTTCTGTTAAAAACATTGATTCCTTGTAATGCTCTTAGCTGCAGAGCTACTTACCTTTTTACTTAAGAGGTTTACCACATATTGAAGAAAGGTCTACAGCCAGCAACCGACTAGAAACCATCCTGTAAAACTGTGCATGAGGACACAAACTCTATATAAGATTAGTACCATACTTTTATGTCAACCACTGCAAGAGGTACAAGTCCAGTACTCCAAATAACTCAACTTTCATAAATACATCAGGATTGAAGTACCTGCAGGAAATGCATATAACCCAACTCTAACAAGCCAAAACATCATATGGATGTTATCAACTTTGCAAAATAGTAGCATGAGCTAAAAGTTAAGAAGAACATCTAAAACAATAAAATCATATTTTAGTTCTGCTACATGATTCACTCATTTCATGGTGTTTCAGATTTGCTTTGCTTCCACACTTCTGTTAATAAGAGTGACATGTAAGATGGAAAGAAGCCAATTTTACTTTAACAGCAGAAGGTAAGTTAAGAGCATCTGCAAGTTACAGAAAAAAATCCAAAACATCTTTAGCCAAGGAAAGCATGACCTAGCAGCACTCAGCTCAGCAGCAATTCTCTCTATCTGTCCGTATATAAAGGGTTAACTTTTGGACATCACTTCTGATCAATCCTCAAATTATAGAGAGATGTTTGATTGTTATCAGCTGAAAATTTCCAAAAAGAGAGAGAAAACACAGGTTACATTTGACCTGAGCTTGTTTTTTCACCAATGTCTTGTTACCCTAAAGTTTCAGGATTTTTCAAGAGAGCCATTAACACCTCCTATCCTTATTGCTATCTCTATCTCATCCTGTCTTGCTGGTTCAGCTCTGCAAGTCTTGCCCATCCTTGAAGAGACAACTTGTAGTGCAGGTTGGGAAAAAAGAAAGGAGAGAGTGCATGGGGAGAGGACAGCTGAAAAGATGCACAGATCACTGCCAGAGGAGCCAAGAGGAGTGGAGGAGCTCTCAGAGCTGTTCGTAGTGGGTAGGGGAACACAGGGCACTGACTGCAGTGGGGGAGAAGGTAGGCCAGCAGCATAGGAGACTGGCGTGTGGAATGACGGGTGCACAGAAATCTTGGAGCACACATAATCCCTGGCTGGGAAGAGGCTATTGCAAAGGGTATTCACACCCATAGATATCCTAGGGTTCAAAGAGCAATGGTGTTCAGGGCAGCAGAGTGCAGATATCTTAATATTCCTCTCCCCCAACACATGACACCCCAGGCATTGGGTCACAGGATGGTGAAGAGGTGGGCAGAAGCTGGGGAACATGTCCTCTAGCAAACCTGGCTGAGCTCAGAACCCTAGGAGAAGACATAACGCATGGGCTTTCCCCTCTGTGACTTCCATACGGCAAATGCAGCCAGTAAGCAGGCAAAGCTCAAACTGACAACCTGCATGCAATCACAGAGCAGGGGAAAGCCAGTAGTGCTGGGTGAAATGGAGAAGCAAGATGCAACAGTGAAGCAGTGTGAGGAGGGAGGGAACTGAGAGTCACTGTCAGCGTGTGAGCTTAGACAGGTCTGGGGGCTATACAGAGCTGTCCTACCCTGTGTCGCCCACCTCTCCGCAGTGTCTGTACTCTTTTAGTTTCTCAAAGAATAAATGTTGCTCTCCACTTATTAAAATCTGAGTGCTGAATGTTCAAGACAAAAACTGGTCCTCACAATAAGAGAGAGCCTAAAGACCTGCACTGATTTCTTTAGGGCCTGGGTGAATTGCAGCACAGGGATAGATTCTCTGCCTCACCATGACTGTTCCTAAGGACAAACTCCCTGTTCAGATGCACAGAAAGGAGCTGTAGGGCTATATGCACGCAGAAAGGTAGCATGAGACTCTTCAGACATAGGATCCAAGGCCTGAGAGGCTAACCTGTGTAACAAATCCCACCCAGAGGCTGTATCTGGCCAGCTCGACTCAAAATCTGCAGGTTGGTTTGACTGAAAGTCTAACGGTCTGCCTGCCTGTTGACAATGCAGCCAGCCTTTTTCCCCAGTCCAGCTACAAAAGAGTCTTTCCAGCCCTTCTCCCAGGGTACATTCAGTCAAACACTTCATCAGCACAACCTGCACAGGCCCACAGGCCCTTCACTCCGTTTTCTGTTCTCTGTGATATGCCCAGCCTTCTCTAATGCTGATTTGCCCTTAACAGTCTTCCATCTCCATTCCTTCAGCATCTGTCAGCCCTTTATAACGAACATTTGATGATTTTCTGTGGAGATCAGATAATCTGTGGGGGCTGGTTGGGCCTTAGCTTTAATCTGGTCATCCTGTTGCAGGAACACTGTGCTGCATTTGCAAATATTCTTGGAGTTTCTTTCATTCCTGTTCCCAAACACAGTAGCAGCCTCAGAAATATACCAGCACCTGCAAGGTGCCTCCTCAGTCCTTCCCCAACCCTCTCAATCCACTTAACAGAAGTGATCTGGCTAATATTGCAGCACACCATTTGGAAAGCAGCACCTGAAAGTGCAGGGTACACTTACCTCTCATCACACTGACATTCAAGCTGTTCAAAAGCCAGGTTCTGCTCCAGAAGTGAGGGACGCACATGCAGGGTGCTGGTAGCCTTGTATTCACTCTATTAAAATGCGGGAGGTCAATTCACCAGAGAGAAAGGGAGCTCACAAAGAACTGGTTCAAGCCATGCAAATTGTCCCTGCTTGGGTTCCACCATTTCACCCCTTCCCCCTTTTAAGAACGATGATGACAGCTATTAGGGATGTTGCATCCCTGAATGGATGGCTACCCTCAGTGAGAGCAGCCATGCAGCCTGTACACTGCACCAGTGATTAGACTTTACAGAAATATGGAAGCATCCTATAAAATACAGGGCCTTAAATCCCAAAAATAATAATTCAGCTGCACTTCATCAGATTTACACACACATACAGGCACACACGTGGTTGGGTTTGGTTTCTGGATGATAACTTCTTGCTGTGTCACTAAATTGTTTTCAGTAATAGACAAACCACTGGAAATACTCTGTCTCCAGTCAGCACATAAACGAGGCTCTTAAGGTTTCTTTAGACATCCTGGGAGTACTAAACTGAACTGAAAACTTGAAAGGTCAACTTGGTATTGCTTTCCAGAGCAATGCCTACCATATCCCTCGGTTCTCCTGCAAGAAGAGCCACTCTCTCAGTATTTTCGATTTTTTTTTCTTTTATTTGACAGCTCCAAGATCCCTGAAAATGAGGGAAAAGAAAACAAAAGAAGGAAGAAAAAGGAACTAACACTGCTGCATCCTTCCCTGCAAGCATTAGTTCTGCTACTGTTTGGGAAAGAGGTCCAGGGAGTCTATTCTAACACTCAGTGCATGCCAACTTACAACCATTTTATGTTTTATGGTGCTTTGTTAAGCCAGACTACCTGGATTAGTCACAATCATATTCTCAGCTAAGCTGCAATGTAACAACACTGGAATCCTGTTAGGACACTGTTTTTCCTCTGAATGCAACTGCCTCCTCGCCTGCCTGGTCACACAGTTCCCGGTACCACCACCGTGCTCATTTGGGAGGGCAGGGTAGCTCTGATGGGATCCCAGAGTACAGCCACCGAGAGCCCACTGTTGAAACTGTTGTGCCTCACCCACCTCAGGCTTATTATTAGTATAAACACACTGTAATTTAGTTCATGCAAACTTGTTTTGCTCAGACTTCAGGATGCTCCAGCTTCACTGCTGTCCATGTGTTTTTCACGTGGTTTGCTGCAGGTCTGCTCTTCATTTTTTCACTGATAGTCACAGCTGAAAGGTCTAATTTGAATCATAAAGTTGAACTTTTTTTCTGTTAATTTTTAAACCCTCCTCTACTCCCCCTTACACTCCCCTCATATCAATAAACATCTGCCTTCCTTCCTGAAGGCCACCCATGCTAGTGTATTCCAGCAAGATCCTGTTACAGGTCACAGCACACAGCCCAAGCTATGCACTCACTTTACCTCCACCCAAAGGGATTTAAAGAAATTTAACCTCCAGACAATCTGGAAAATCTAAGTTGATCATTTACTGCTATTAACTGCACAAAAGATTACACTGAGTTGATATGCACAGGTAGTCACAGAATTTGCAAGCACAAACCTCATCACATACATATACCACATGAACAGGATGTATTCAATGATTTGAGGTCAGCACATATGCTGCTTGAACTGTTGTTTTGTCCTTCCCCCTCATTATCCCTCTCCTCATCACACGCACATTTCTCCTCTTCATTTTTCTTCCAAGATAGATAAACAACAGGCTTGATTCTTCTCTCACTAAAATCAGCGAGCATCAGGAGTTATTCTCTGTATTCAATGTGCCTGGACTGTGTAAGGACTGACCTGCAAACAACTTCTGCAGCCCTTTAACTAAACTGATTGTTAAACTGATGAAAAAATATTAAAAAGCTAGAGAAAGGAATAGAGCCCAACCCAGTTGCTACTGTAGGAGGCCCAGCTCAGTGCTGTCAATCAGTAATGTGTGAGGGGGGCTGGCACACCACAAAAGTTTCATCACCTTTTATTAGGAAAAATCTAGAGTAGATGAAGGAAAATCTGACTGTTAAGCACACTGCTAGGCAATGCACACAAATCTTGGCAGGCCTATCAAGACAGAAAAGATACTGAGCTTACCAGAAGTCTTAAAGAAGTTGCAATGTTAATACCCTGTTCCCCACTGACACTCGCTCAGGCGTTACACTGTAGGAGATATGACCCAGAAAAACCTGACCTGTTTGGACCTCAGGGCTCACACTGGCAGCCACTGCCTCGGGCCAGCGCTCCTCTCGTTCTTCCTGCCATTCCTCTCTGTCTCCTCCAGTTCATCTGTGGTGGGCGGTACTTCCACCATCAGCTTAACTGACAGGTATCCGCTCAACTCTCCTGAGATATTTTGGCACTCCAGTCATTGCTGTTTCAGTTCATCTACGCACTTGGTCTCTCTCTGAGTCCACAGCTAGGTCCAACAGCAGAATATCCTGGGTGCTTTGTCTCTTGCTCTCAAGAACTCTGCAAAAACAGAAGACAAAGATGCTCCAGGTTGACAAAGGCATGACTGCGGGAAAGGCTTTGCCCCCCATAAGCAACCAAACTGCCTATTCTGAACACGACAGAGAGCTTTTCAGCTGAGGGCATGGCCTCTCCATTGCTCTCCCAGAAACCTCCAACAAAGGAAGGAAGCTGATAACTGAAGATATATATCTTTTCAGAGATAAGGGCAGACAGGATAGTGGTCGTATCTTCCTTGCCTGCTTGCCTGTTCCCTGACATCTTTTTCTTACTAACTCTATTAAAATATTGTGCAGAGACTCTGCTTCCATCATTAGCAATCCACTAAAGTACCTCCTGTGTCAGAGCCCTGCTTGTCTTCCCCTTACAGCTCTGAGACTTCCAGTCCCTGTTCTTCTTCCCGCTGGCCAGCTTTTCAAAGCCTCACCAGCATGTCCTGTTCCTGCTGTCAGGTTCTTGCTGCTCCACTGTTCTGATTTTATTGACAGATGCTAGTGCTTGCACTATAATACAGTAGCTCTTTAGTCATCACAAGAGCACAGTATTTCAGAGCACAGTTACAGGTAGAAAGGAGCTGTTTAAAGGTGCCATTTCTCGCAATTTGTAAAGACAGAAAAAACAGGAAGAATTAATGTAAAAGTAATATTCAGTGAGAGGAAAGCTGCAGTATGAGCCTAGTCTGGTCAGCCAGTCCTCATCTGGTGACCGGAACAAACTAAGCAGTGCATTGTCCTGCTTTACTCGCCTGTCAACGCAATCAAGCAAACTTAGCCACCTGGCCATGCAAAGCTGTTGTATTTTCAAACTATTTGCTCCCATAAATGCTTGACATTCTTGCTGAAGTTGTATCCTCTTACAGCTATTGGAGAGCTGTTGTTAATGTCTATAGTATTTGGGAAAGGCTTATGTGCATCAGCTGTACATGACACCGCAACCTGGCATGTGCAATGAATATGAAAAATGCTTGATTCTTCCTCCTAAAACCCTGGAAAAACAGGATTTCCAATCCCTAACATAACAGTAGTTTCATATGTTTCGTTGTTCTGAGTACTTCCTCCTAGCCCAGAAATACAGCGGAGAGGTTAGCGATTCTTTCCAGAAGGTGGAACTGAATTTGTTGGCATTAGAGCCAGCCCCACTGCTTTCCTCTAAAACACTCCATGGTACGGGTTGTGCCTTCAGCCTGGACTGCACTAGTCAGCCTTATCCCCAACCTCTACAGGCAAAGTTGAAGAAATATCAATGCTAAAGAGGGTTATCATTAATTAAGTTCAACTTCTCAGCTGTTTTCCATACTTACTCACTACTTTAAATGGCCAGAAATACAAAATAAATCAGTCACTTATTATCCCCCATTTTGAGTGAAAGTTAGATGAGTGCCAGGTTTCTCTGCCACTTTAAGTCCAGCATTCGTCGCTGGTGGCTGTCACCCTGCAGAGTCAGGGAGCTGTATTCTTACAAGACATGACCTGCCTGACAAGACACACTGCCATTAAACAGCGTGGTGTGTTTCCATAGCGCTTTCTGTACCTGTTGTCAGCACAGAGAGAGTGTTCAGTGTTTAGCCTGCAGGGACAGTGCCAGGTCCCCAGGTTCAGCTGATGTAAAGATTTCATGTCTTTTACAACGGATGTCCCTTAAGCCATCACAAAGCTATATCTATCAAGTTCTTAAAATGGGCCTTTTAGGAAAGGATACTGTAATTTTTAGTCTCCATTGTTACTACTGTTACTACTGAACAGATGCCCAGAAGCAATCTCCTATCCCATTGTCATGGCACTATGGAAGCCAAATGATTTTGTGGAAGCCAAGAATAAGCTTTGCATTTATTGCTTTTAAATCAAAGAAGTGGCAAAATCCAAATCCTCCCCTCTAATATTCTCAAAATGTATCATAAACCAACATCATCTTCTCTGTGATTCAAACTCAGAGGAGTGCTTAAGGCGAAGTAACTTCCACCTCCTGGGAATATTACATCACCCTCGGCTGTCATACAATAAGTTTGGGCCGTGATCAGATCTGATGCTCTGGTTAAAAGGTTCCTGCCCTCACCTCTCTATACTGCAGCTGAGGTTCCCATCCCTTCAGATTTCTGACTACTTATCCATACACGCTCTCCACTCAGTCCTGTCAAAATAGCCCCCATCCCCTTCTCCACACATCACCCACTATTATAAGGATTCATGCTATCCTGGGTTTTTCAGACAGGACCAAGTGACTGAGGGAAAAGCAGTGATGTGTAGGTAGGCACAAGCCAGCATCAGGAGAATCAGTAAGAGCGACTCTCTCCACATCAACATAAAAGAAACTTATACTCATGTGGATCAGACTTAGAGAGCGATTCCCAAGCCAAGGGCAGGCAGAGTATAACTAACATCTTATGGCAATCAAAGCAGGGGGTCTCAGCTCTTTCCTGTGCCATTCTCAGTCATGTGCCCTTCCTGCTTTCCTCATGCTGGCTCTGGCACCAATCAAATCCCTCAGTGAACCAATTCAGCTTATTAAAGAGGCAGAAAACTGATTTTAAAAATAAAACTAAAAAGTAGATGTTCTTCTGCTGACTTAGTGAATTGAATCAGCATAAAGTCAGCTAAGCACCAGAGTCCACATAAGGGAAAAAGCAGGACCGTGCAGCCAGGAGCAGGAGAGAGAAAACAAGTGCAGACCCTTTTGGAAGCAGGACTCTGGCAGAACCCTGAGCTGCCTTGTGGAGCTCACCCCTGAGGCATCACTGGTATTTCTCATCCCAGGAACACTGTAAAGCCCACAAAACACCAGGCCAATCCAGCCAGGAGCAGGAAGCTCAGAGGAAGCAGAATTGTAATGAAAGACAAAAGGGAACTGACCCTTTTACAAAGTTTCTTGTTATTCTTATTTAGTGCAAATCCATTCACCCAGTTCTAGAGCTAGTCACATTTGAGCAGGCAGTTCCACGAATTTCAAGCACTTTTCCCTTATCACAGTTGCTGTCAGAGCAGATATGCCACAGAGCTGAACCTCCCTCAGCCACTGAATGGCCCCACAGTTTGAGGAAAGGGTTAACAGGCTGAAGCTTTACCAAGACTTCACTTCAGTTCCTGTCTAATGCCTGACTCTAGATGAAACCAGCAGACAGGTTCCACTGGGAAACTAAGTGAGGTTTCATGACATGAATTCGTACTAAATAAGTATGTCTTCCCCAGTTCTTGGTACATTATTTTCCAACACTATTCAGATGAAATCAGGAGAGTTGAGCAGCTGCAGGTCAGCACAAATCCTGTATGTTTTTCAGCTTTCGGTATGCTCATACTTTTGCGTGACAACGAGGTAAGATTTGAGGTTTAGGCCAGTAAAAAGCAGGCTGCTTAGGTATCCAAGCAGAGGATGGTGGAAAAGTAATAGGAGAAAAGGAAACTAAGAAACTAACATACGTGCTTCGGTTTTCCTATTCTGAGCCCCCATTTCAGGAAAATCTCAGCTTTGCATTGTTCCCTGTGCTGGTCTGCCTTCCTTAACTTGGAAGCTCAAGGAGAAAACAGACAAAGCTTTCCCCTTCCGTTCTCCTGATTACAAAACAACCTGCATGTATTACTCCTTCAAAACATCTGTTTACACTTGTAACATGAGAAACAGCAGGGAGACTTTATGTGTTTGATAACAAATTGTGACCTCTGCTTTGGAATTTGGTTAGACTTAGCTTCTTAAGCTCCCCAGACTGAGTCACTTTTGAAATTTCAATGAATTAAAGTCTAATTATTCGAAAATAAAATGATTCCTACGCTTCTGTTTCAGAGATATTCATTGAGATTATTAAAGAAGGCTTGTTAGCTTTGCTTCATTTCTTTTTACTTTTTAATCATACTAATGGATGAAATTCTAGCCAGTGAGTCAGAGCTCTCCTAGCGCAGGGGTGGTGAGCTCATGAGCTGAATACAGCATGCCAGAACAGTTCATCCGGGCTGCAGCCCTGTCTTAACACCTTCTTCCAGAAGGTCCCTGAAAAGTTGACAGGCAGCAAGCCACATGCCAGATGATTGCTCGGACAGCCTGAATCTACTTTCTTTCCTAAGGGCCCTCAGTCTCTCCACTACCTCGCAACCATGCGTTTATCTATTTTATAGCCTCAAGGCAGGTCTCACCATCACGAGAAGGACACAAGGTGGGACTGTGCAGGCATCTGTGCTGGGATAGATATACACCCTCTGCCCATACAACACACTGCACAGTGATCGTGGGTCAGAGTACACCTGCATTAGCCATGCAATAGGATATACATGCAGCCACCAGTGAGATGACTCATTTCACACATACCTAGCTAGAGGTGTGGCAGCTAGATGACAGGGCAGGTGGATTTTGAGAACACGACATATACATGTCCACTTATCTAAAAAGGGAAGGACCACACCTTCCCTTATCACATAGCTATCAGAAGCTATACGGCTGCCCTGGCTGGAAGCATGGGTACCACTGTCTCAGAGCAATTCTGGTTATGGTACATACATTGCTGCTCCTACAGATGCATCATTTTTCTCCTTCACTATTTTGCAGATGTTCTCTATTACTGTGTAGTGCATACTCTATCTCCAAGACAATGAGCTAGTCCATGTTATTACACATTAATGAAGTTCTGTATGCAAGTTTCCTATTATTTTCAACCACTTGACTGATAATCAACATTCTTGGCATACTCAGGTAGCATGCCTCTAAGACATCCTAAGTCTCCACAAGCTGCTCATAAAACGATGGAGTAAAACTGCCAGTGAAGAAGCAAACACTGAATTAGCTATAGAAAGAAATGTCGTTGTCCTCCACTGAGTACTCGTTTATTTGTCTACTCACTTTTCCAAAATGCATGACCCTTCTTAAGGGAGGGTTCTTTCTTAAACCATGGAAAGCCACAGGAATTGCAAGTATCACACATCAGTGACCAGAAGGGCTATGAAGCAGCAATCAGCCCCAAAGGATACAGCAGTTTGTCTTTTACAAGGGTATATTCACACCCAGAAGTTCAATGGCTGGAA